ACCTTATTATTTCCATATGAAAGTGATATACAATGCTGCGTGCGAGCATGCAAGCATGAAAGGAGCCGCGAAAATAGGTTTCTCAACTTTGATCAGCTAACTTTGTTTCACAGACAGTTTGTTGTTTATGTTACGGTTTGTCGATCATTTTCATATGAAACAAAGGTGTGCTTATTCACGAGACTGAATGTAACTGGATACTAAACGACTAAACTAACTTAAAAAAGAACCAACTCTTGGATCAATTTTATTGTTAATCTGGTATTCAAAATTCGCAAGAATATGTAACACGCCTGTATTAAACGAATTATTCAATAAGTAAATAATTTTTTTTTCATAATGTGACAATCAAACCACATGACATGCAACCAAAGTTTATAAAGGACTCAATTATTTCATTTTTGGTTTTAAAATTGTCAAGGATTTTTATCAGCAAATTTGATACAATTCTCACTTAACAAATCTCATTTAAACAGCTCTCACTTAAAAACAATTTAAAATGGCCAGTCCAGATTTTGTTATGTTTGCTAATAACATTGTAAATGCTGCAAACAGAGCGTTACAAGAATTATATGACACTGATGCTTTGCAAGTGCACACAGAAAGGTTGGAACTTCTAACAAGGATGTATTTATACCTCGAACCAGTTATTGGAAATACTGCGGCAATGAATAGGGTTAACGAACTCATAGATATAAAATCAAGACTGGAGAACAAGATTATTGGATTAAAGGATGTGGAACCATTTTCGACTAATGATCTTGCAATCAGACTACCATCGGGGGGGGCGACCGCGATTGCAGTTGTCTGGAAAATTAATAAGAGAGTTGAGGGAGCAGGGCTTTAAATGGAAGTCCATAGCCAGTTTAATTGGTGTAAGTGTAGATACTCTCCGACGACGACGGCAAGAGTTGCAGATTCCTGACGATCATCAATATTCAGCCATCACAGACGAACAACTGGATGTAGTCGTGAGAGAGATTAAGACTGTGCAGCCATTTGCTGGTCAAACTTTGGTGATGGGCTCACTTTACAGCAGAGGCCTTAGAGTACATCGGGCCTGAGTTCGCGAAAGCCTTCATCGTGTAGATCCAATTGGTGTGATACAAAGATGGCAATCTCTAATTCCTCGAAGGCAATATCATGTCTCAGGCCCTAATGCGCTTTGGCACTTGGATGGCAATCATAAACTTATTAGGTACAAATTCGTAATACATGGATGCATTGACGGATATTCACGGCTTATCACATACTTGGCGTGTAGTACGAACAATAGGGCTGCAACTGTCTTAAGGTACTTTCTGGATGCTTGTAACAAATGGCGTAATGGGCCATCACGAACAAGAAGCGATCGGGTCGGAGAAAATGTAGAGGTGGCAAGACATATGTTACAAACACGAGGAACTGATCGTGGCAGCCACATATATGGTCCATCAGTTCACAATCAAAGGATTGAAAGGCTTTGGAAAGATTTAAATCGCGTTGTCGGAAGATTGTATTTGTTGATATTCAGACATTTGGAAGAGAATTATGCTTTCAATGTTGAAAATGAACATGATCTATATTGTCTTCATTACACATACCAACCACATATAAATCGGACCTTAAATGCGTTCACAGAAGGCTGGAATGAACATGGCATACGAACAGAAAATGGACGTTCACCATGTCAAATATGGAGCGAGGGTATGATTCGTAATAATTGGAGACATTATAGAGACATTGTTGATCATACCTTCCGAAACGATGATAGTTATGGTATAGACTTAGATGGTCCTGTTCCAAATAATAACATGCGTGATACTGTTGTCAACGTATTACCTGTTAGTCTAATTCTTAATGAAAGTCAATACTCTCAGCTTGTCGAATCTGTTAATCCTAATGTAAATGATGACAATTATGGCATTAACACTTTTTTACAAGCACGGCAATTTGTTAATCATTTGCTATCTATCAATAATCAATAAACAATATTATCATCAACACAAATGAATTCCGTTTAATAATTCATATACGCTTTTGATATTATGTATATATTGCATCACCGTAGCGGATTTATATGTATAATTTGTAGATAAAAAAAAATAAACGTCTTTAATCATTTTATTGATAAAATTGTCAAACTATACAGCGATATCAAACAAATATGTACCATTATTATACGATTAGTTTTCCAATAATGTCAATAAAGAGTCATAATTTATGTCAAGAGGTTGAATCATTATACGCACCGTTAGACATTTATTCTTCGACAATGACCAAATAGTCTTAATTAAATCATTAAAGTTGAATAACTAATACGTATGTATTTTTTAATCATTCGTTGAGGAGTTTATCAAACCATGCATTTTGGTCAGTTGATCTTATTCTGTGAAACAAACTTGGCTGTGAATGTTCGTTGTGCATGATGGTATTGTGTATTGTCTATTTTCGCGGCTCCTTTCATGCTTGCATGCTCGCACGCAGCATTGTATATCACTTTCATATGGAAATAATAAGGT